AATGCCCGATACGCGCTGCGTACTCTCTCTCAGATTGAGGGAGAGCTTTATTCAATTGCTCCGAAAGGTTCCGAAGTCGAGTTTAACTGATCATTCACCACTAGATCGACCACCCAATGCCCTGGTCAGTTGTTCCAGTCTGGAAGCTCCAGTCTGGAGCAATGCCAGGTGTCTCATGTAACTCATGTATGCTACCTCTGTGTGACAGGCTCATGTTATTGGGCTGCCTAAGTTAATCGACAGTTCATAACAAGTATTCACCGCGTGAGGCACTAGATATTAGTCGTATGCTACTCATATGCTATGATAGCATTGCTATCTGTCTTCAAGGATCCCCAAGCCTATTTTCTCATTTTTTTCATATTTTATCTATTTTGCCTATTTTTAGGAATGAGAAATAGGCCGAAAGAAAGAACGGTTATTTTCCCTTCCCTCGGCCACCCTATTTGAGGGGTACTATTGAGTCAGGCGTTCGAGGAAACTTTGTCGGGGGTGTTGTTGGACATTCCGACATTTGTCAAGTCGTTAAAGTCGCCCAACGATCTCGTATTCACTAAGACGGCGGATTTTAGCCAAATGCTCGTGGCCTTCCGTGGGACGTGGTCCGAGTATAAACAGCGGTTACGGGAGCAGGGAATTGAGGTGAGCGTTCACAGTGTCTAGAGTACTTACCCATCGCTATAGTTGGACCCGGAGTTCACACTGGCCTTGCGTGATGGTCTGACGCTTCCAACGGTTCGGATACGGCAACGAAAATGGAGACAGCCTCCTAACCCTGACCAAGCAGTGAGGTAGTGAGAGCATGCTATAGCTTGATAGCTGTGTAAGGCGAACGTATAGGAACGCGAGAGCTGAGGAGAAAATCATGAACGTCAATAAAGGAGGGCATTTGGAATGGACAGAGGATGCCGACGTTGCAGCCTCGGAAATGCGGGAAAGGAAGGAGAATGAGCCTAGCAGCATCTGGCGGCCCACAGATGAAATCATCAATACGTTGAATACGTAATATGTATTTCTCTGTCTGTCGCAGCTGACGTTGATGCTGACGATCAGGTGACTGGACTTATGCCTTCTTTACCCTCTGGAATGTCTTCAGCCAGTCTGTCATCATTTGCGATGCAGGATGGTGCCGGCAGCTATTCTGCATTTGACGCGACGAGCAAGGGGTAGGAGGTGGCCTCCTGTCGTTGCTGTGGGCAATTTTATTGCTGTTTTAGAAGCCGCGCCACTAAGAAGAGTAGAAGGCATCAACATAAAAAGAATAAGAAGCACAAGAAGGAAAGTAAGGAGGAGGATGAGGCCATTGCAGCGTTCAAGAATCGATAGTGTTTCTACGACATTTCTACTGTGTAGAGTTGTTACTATCGCGGTGTTTTGAAGGATTGTTCGTCGAGGTGTAAA